CCTTTACAATTGCTTCATAACCTTTTGCCTGATGGTTTTTGCATTTCTAGGGCAGACCTGGAGAGAGCGGGGCGAAAGGCAGCCCCAGCCCCAGAGGAAGCAGAGTGAGTATCTCCATGGGTGTTCGTGTCCCTCCGGGATGCAAAGGCATTCAGAGCATGCGTGGCTACAGAGTCCGCTGACCCAGGGGTTGGAAACATTAGCTGGGTTTCTCCATCTGGGCACTATTGACATTTTCTGCCCAATAATGCTTTGGTATGGGTGTCCCTGTGAGGCATTGTGGGATGTTGGACAGAGTCTACTCACTAAATGTCAGTAGCCCTCACAGTGCTGCATTGTGACCACTAAGAACTCCTCCACACATTGCCCAAAGCCCTGCGGGGTGATGGGTACCAGAAAGAAAGAAGAAAATGCTCTGACATCGATGACAGTAATGATTGTACGACTCTTCTCAATATGACTGAACCATTGGGTTGTATGAATCATATGGCAATAAAATGGCTTAAAAAACAAAAACAAGGTCAAGGTCCTCTGAAGACAACAAAACACTCCCGGTCAAGGCTGAGCCAGATACAGCCTTTTGGTCCCGTTCTGCCTTCTAGGTGTCTTGGAAGAGACTAAATGATTTTAACGTAAAAGCTTAGCATCTTTGCCAGGTAGCTGGGCATCTTGGAGCTGACGTAAGGCTCTCTGAAATGGATCAACACAGTTCTCCCTCCTCTCCCTTCATGGGCTATCAGTGAGAAAGAAGAATCATTTAGAGGCATTAAGTGCGGGATTGAAGGCCAACCAGTAGCGTCTTGGGAGAGCCAGGCTAACTTCATAGCACACCATGTGATCTCGGAGACCCCGTGGTGCAGTGGTCAAGCTAATCAAAAGGCAGGTAATCAAAAGGTCAGCCATCCAGACCCACCAGCAGCCCCACTCCACAGGAAAATGATGGGAGAATCTGCTTCCCTCAAAACCACAGCCTCTGGTGAGTCAATTCTGACTCCTAGCCGCGCTGTGGACAAAACTCTCCCCGTCTCCGTGGCATCCTCACCAGTCTGGCCCTCCTCACTTCTAAGGAGCACCCGGGCTGTGCTTCTTCTAAGACAGTTTTGCTCACTCCGCATGGAGATCATCTGAAGAGAAGAGGAGGGTCCTAGGGCCTAGCATTTGGTTCAAGAGGGAAGTGGAAGTCTTCAGCTTTATGATCCATTTGGAATCTCCCCATCACTTGGCGGTGGGTGACTTCAGGCCCTTCCCCCTGGGTAGAGAGTGGGCACCCGTGCTTGGATTCCTCTAGCCTGTGTTAATAGCTTCAGAAGTCCTTCCTCCGTGAAAGGAGCTGTAGGTAGGGGTTCGACTCACCGGTCCTCTTCTCCACACGAGCTAATTCAAACGTCTTCAGAGGAAGCAGGGGGACACAGCCATGATGTACGATGTACAGATTTTCAAGATTCAAGTTTCAGAAAAACAACAACAACAACAACAAAACTTTTTGTTCCAATAGTTTGGTAACTCAGCCAAGCATCAATGAAAGCACTTTTTAAAAGGAGAGCCAGAGGTGGTAAGGAGGTTAATATTCCTATTTGGGCAACTCGTTGATTTGTGTCAACTTGCTCCAAGACACGAGGCTCGCTGCCTCCTTTCTGTCATTATCCCCCCTCCCCGCCCCCACCCCCAGCCTTACCTCCTCCTTCCAAATCTCTTTTCTTTGGAATTGAAAAAAAAAAAAAAAAAGGCACTGCGAACCTACAAGAACAGCCTGCTTCTCTACCCTCTCCCGTCTTTCCAACAAAGGACAGGGTGCTCTGAAGGCCAATCTTTCACCCGTTACCGTAGACTCAGCTCCGACGGCAGGGGACCCCTGTGTGTTCAAGCACAGCGGTGCTCCTCTGAGTTTTCACTGCAGAGTGTTCAGAAATAGACCTCCAGACCTTTCTTCCGAGGCACCTATGGGTGGGCTCATCACCAGCCTCTTGTCTGTTATAAATCGGAAGTGTGTACACCCTCCAGGTCTTTCTCCGTGGTCTCCCCACACCAGGAAAGCTTACATACAGCAATAGTTATACTTCCGCGCGGTACCCCGATGAATTACATTCAGATGCTAATTTATTTAATCCTCATAACAGACGTATGTGACAGATACTATTATTATAACATCTATTTTGTAGTTTTTAGAAATGAAAGAACCCACAGCATCGCCCTCCAGAGTCCATGGTCCTACAGGACGGGTTTCTGAGTCTCTAAATCTTTCTGGGAGTGGAAAGCTTCCTTTCTCTCCAGCAGAGCAGCTGGTGGGTTCGAACTGCAGACCTTGAGGTTAGCAGCCCAAGGATTGCCCGCTAAGGCACCTGCACGCCTTTCTGGAAAGGACAAGTGTGGCAAAAATAGCCTCTAGATGGCGAAGCTGATCTAACTGCATGAAAACGCTCCTGGCCAAGTGCGACAAATTTCCACTTCAGCCATCAGCTGGGTTCACAGGGACCTCTTCAGATCCTTACAGAATACCAGTAAGCTGGACTCTAGTGGCCCGTTTGAAGTCCTGTATTTGAAATACTGTTTCACTCACCCCCAGAGGCAAGTCAGGAGGCCTGGACACAGAGAGGTAGAGATGGCCTGGCTGGTGCCCACCTAGGGAGTCTCTGATTGACAGAAGTCTCTGGTGGTGCAGGGAGTGAAGTGCTGGGCTGCTAGCCGAAAGGGCGATGGTTTGAATCCACCGAGCAGTTCCCTGGGAGAAAGGCGAGCTAGTCTGTTCCCATGCAGATTCACAGCCTCAGAAAGTCCATGGCGCGTTTCTCCTGGGCCCTCTGAGGTTATTCTGTGTCGGGATCTACTGAGACAGCAGTGGGTTTGGGAGGTTTGCCGGAAGGGGGAGAAGTGGACAGCAGGTTCTCCCGACAGCCTCCTGATAATTGTCAGAGGTTGTCAGACTGGGGCTGGGCTGGTAGTGACTTTTAGATTGGTTGGCAATCAATCCCCCAAATGTTAGTTTGTCATGGAGCGCCCCATGTGTAAGCCCCTCAGGGAAGCCGTTTCTATCCATTGCTCATTTTTCATGTCATCCAGAGCTGTAGGGACTGCTGAAGAACTCCCCCCCATCCAGGCACCCCCATCCAGATACTAACATGTCATCTTTCTGTTGTTGTTGTTCTAGGGGAGAGCAGGCCAAAGGGGGCCCCCAGGTCTCGAGGTAAGTTTCCTTAGCCCCTGTCCTCTCTGGCAGGAGGGAAGAAGATTGCTCACATGCAAATGGTGGTGGTCATGTGTGAGCAGGATCCCCAGATTTGGGGGGAAACACGAGTCCCCAGAATTTCAGCTGTCCAGGACCAGGGCAAGGCTGACCTGAGGCAAAGCCTCTGTCACAAATACTTCCTGGGAAACAGAGCCCGTGCCCGGTCTCTCTGTTGAACTGTTTTTGCTGACACCTGGAACCCATGACAAAGGGAGTGGATGTTTTCATTCAAATAATAAGCAAGTGAAACACGAAACCAAGACAAGCAAGCAAGCAAACATGGGTTCATTCCTTAGAGAGCGAAAATCCTAAGGAAAGCAGAAGGGACCTTGAGGCCAAGCGCCGTGAGTTAGGCGACATAACACCTTGCGTATAGGGGCAGGGCTTCCTTGGAAGAATTCTGTTCATCAGCGCAACCAGCTGTGATGGAGTGCATGTTCATGGGCGGTGAGCCGGCGCCCGCGTGACCTAGACAGAATGATGTAGGTGCTGTCTTCACTTCCTAGGGCCAGAATTAGCACAGATACCTGAGATTTCACAGAAATATCAAGACGAGAACTTGAGTTTCCCACGGCTCAGGAGGCTACAAGTCTGGATGCAGGGTACCAGGAACAAGTTCTGGCGCTAGAGCCTTGTCTCAGTCGTCACAACCCTGACATTCCATTGTTCCTTGGCGTCTTCTCATGGCGTCTCCTGCACCCACCCCATTTGTTCTCGCCAGTCTTTGCGTCTTTGCTACTTATTAACCACTCAGATGTTATTCGCTTCAGGGCACACCCTACAGTGGCAAGGCCTCACTAACATAGCAAGGGATGCCTATTCCCAGACAGGATTCCTTCCATGTTTAAAGGGGTCAGAACTCCATGACAGATTTGAGGGGGAGTGGGGGAGGAAGGATACATTTTAATTCATAACAGGTATCATGTAAGGAAAATCTCCATGGAAAATTCTAACCCTGAAACCTCTCATTCATCAGGGGCAACCAGGAAGTTCTGGACTTAAAGGTGCACCAGGAAATGAAGGATTACAAGGACCACAGGTGTGTTGAGAAATATTGATAATGGATGCTGAATTATCCTGAGTGGAAGAAGGCAGATAGTTCTGCAAAAATAAAAAATAAAAAAGGGAGACACGTTTAATCTGTTCAAGTGCCCTTCCTTCCTCATAGTCTATATCTTTGGAATTCCACATTGCCCCCCTTTTGAGACTGTGATTTTGCTTAAGCTTGCTCCCACATTGATTACCTTCTTGTAGAGGAAAGAGATGATCTTGTGCTCAGCTGATATTGTACCTGCACAGTATCAGAATTTTAGGCAAATAATGCATGTGTTGTTTTGGGTTTTTTGGTTTTTTTTGAAATCAAAGAACTGCCCCCCCCCAATGTATTAGTTTTCTATTCACTGTATGGGTTATATTCATGTGCGGGTTAAATAAATAATGCATTATTTTCCCCCAAACACAGAAGTAATAATACAATATTATATGGGGAAAACACAATAGTAATAATAAAATATTATACCTGATACTGTATTCATTCATACATCAATATCAGGATGACATGCCTGAGGAAACATAGTTCATTCACTCACCTAAAGCAAACTGCATAGGGAGTGACCGTCCTTATTCCTGGAATATCACAGATCGACTTTATGTCAACCATTCCCATTTGGCCAAGGTCACACCATCGTTTACATGGGTGTCAGAACCCAGCGCCTCTCTGTCTTCTCTCGCCCCTGCCAGAAAGACTCTGGGGCCACACCCGGAGGATGATCTTCTAACCCATGTGTTTTTAGTGTCCAAGATCTTACGGAAGCCATTGTATGCCTGGATTTGTCTGGAGGGCCCTGTGTCAATATGCCTATTCTGAGGCCTTCCCAGAAATCAATTTTTGTTCTAGAAAGTTCCAAGTGGTTAGCAGTAAACTGAGATTTGGGATTCTCCTGAATGGTTCTGGCATCCCTGAACCAGGCCACCAGCTAGCGGTCCTCTAGATCAATTGGCCCTGAGACCAGTCTGTATCCACTCTTGGGTCTTCAGGTGAGAGTAACAGGTGCCTCAAAGATTCTAGGGTCCCTTTGACCCTAAGGGCCGTGAGTCTGACAAAAGAAGACCTGTGTGTTATATGAGCTAATCCATTGGCTCTAGCCACCATTTACACGGGGCAACCAAACCTGAACCTATTTCCTGCTGGGTGCTTTGGTGATGAGAAACCATACAGAGGCATCTAATTTCTCCTTCGATGTAAGAGAACCACCTGAGAACCCATGAATTTATAGGTAAATGTGGTAGGAAAAAAATACTTTGATTCCTTTCATTGGAATCTGCTGCTAAATGCCCTGTGTCCTCCCTTGAAACAACGCTACTTTCAAGTTTATGCCGTGACAAGCCCCCTCAAGGATGCCACCTGACTCTTGCTCATGTCTCATTGTCTAAGAGCTTGCTTCTTCCTCTTGGTTCTTCCATGTCATTTAGAGATGGTGGCCATCCATGCAGGGAGGAATCCCTTATCACATCAGCACCACTGAGACCTTAATCACATCAGCACCACTGAGACCATCTGTCCCCAGTTCTTCTTCTGACACATGGTTCATCTCACAGTTCAAAGTGGGCTTTCAGCCTTGGGTCGGAGCATTGCATTTCCACGGGGGTGTTTAAAAAACAAGAACACAGATTTTTTCATTGATGACTGACATGACGTTCTGTTTGTTACTTTGTCACCACCACAGGGGCAAAACGGAAATCCTGGCAGGAAAGGAGAAAAGGGAAGCCCCGGGTTTAAAGGACCTCAGGTGAGCCAGCCAAGAGGCAGTGCGGCCAAGGGCCCCCAGCCTGGGTGTACTTCTTACCAAGGCAGCATCTTCCTCTATGGTTTATTTTGTATGTTCCACCTACCATGTACTTCATTTGGGACTCACCGGGGGCACATGTCACGGCTAGCTCATGACATAAGCACTCTTCTTTCTCTTCCCCTGAGTTTGACTCCAAGGCACAGAGCCATTTCATCAACCTTGATAGATAGATAGATAGATAGATAGATAGATAGATAGATAGATAGATAGATAGATATAGATAAAGCATTCAGAGGAATAAAAACTAGTTCAGACTAAAAAACATTTCCTCCCAACCTGATCTGTTGTTCTAGCTTTTGTGACTTTGGGGAATGAAATGTACCACTCAAGTCTCCATCGATGACACCTATTTGAAAGCGATTCTGCAAAGATTTCTTGCTCTCCAAAGCTAGCGGACTTCTAACTTCTTATCTCCAATGAACTATCTGAATGTATGGGCTTCCCGAGTTTCTGATCATGAACAAAGAGCCCTGGGATGCGAAGGGATTCGGATGGGAATTTCTCCAAGCCTATCCTGCCCTTCACCTCAGATCATGAGGTTTCCAGAAGACCAGGCATGCTTGCACATGCTCAGTTCTCCTCCCCACAGGTTTGGGAAAGACACCCAGGCTCAGCGGTAGATCAGGGCATTGAAATGTATTCTGCAGCCAAGCCTACTGTACACATGGCCCAGTGGTCAGTGGTGGCAGAGACAGCAAGCATCTTGTTCTAAGAAAATCAGTGCTGAAATGAAATGAACTGTGCTCAGTAAAGGGCGTGTTGTCTGTCTCGCTGAGGCACCATCCAGATGAATGGTTTCCTTGCACATGAAGATCCTTGGTCCTCTAACCAGGACTGAAGCGCTCAGTAGCGCTGTGGGTTACCAACCAAAAGGTCAGCTCTTCAAACCCACCAGTTGCTGCTGGGCAGAAAGCTGAGGTTGTCGGCTCCAGTAAAGATTTCCGGTCTGGGAAAAACCTAGCCAAGGTTGTGGTGACTCGAAATCGAGTCACTCACGGTGGGTTGGATTTGGGATTGCTCTGAAGTAAAGCTAAACCTGGGTAGGTGCTTCTGCCCAGCTGTCTCTCTCTCCCTGGGTGGCTGGTCTCCTTGGAAGGAGGTGTCAAGGAGTTCTAGGAGCTGCCATGAAGAACATGTAAACTCTTATGGGGTCCTCGGAGAGCAGCTGCAGCACCCCCATCTGTGTCTCACGTTTCCTTTCAGGGTTCTCTAGGACCCGCGGGACCCAAGGGGAGCGACGGAAGACCTGGACTATCGGGCAAAAAAGTAAGTGTTATTCCCATCGGTCGTCCGGCTTCAATCGTTACACCGTAACATAACGATGCCTACTAGAGCCTTCTCAAAACGAATGGTTTAGCTTCGCTAGGAAAATAATGTGTCTGTCTGCCTTGAGCATGGTGCTCTTTTAGGAACTATCTCTATGCGGTCAAACCCTAGTGGCTCCGGGGTTATGTTTTGGGCTGCTAACTGCTGGGTCAGCAGTTCGAAACTACCAGCTACCCCACAGGAAAAGACGAAGCTTTCTGTTGTAAAGATTCAGAGCCTCTGAAGCGACAGGAGCTGTTCTCCTCTGTCCCGAAGGATGGCTGAGTCCGAAGTGACAGCTGTAATGGAGAGCAGCGTGAGCCTTAGGGAGCAGTGACTCTATGTCAATGAGGAGCTGGAAGAATATTGTCCAGGCCGCTAAATGGCAGCTGAATCGGTCTCTGTTTGGCTCTGTACCTTCTCAACAACAACCATCCAATGAATCAAACGATCACAACAAATAAAATACTAAGAACTAAGGATCCGTGGTCACCCTCTGAGTTCCTGGACTGTCTGTTCTCCTCACAAGAGAATGCAGGCCCCCAGCTTGTCTGTCCTCCTTCCATCGGCCACCAGCTCCTGCGCCCTCCCCCTTCAGGGAGCACCGAAGTTCTGACTTCTTCAGGAAGCTGCTGCCTCACTCCAGGCAAAGCGAGACGGGGTGACTCTTACCCACCAGGAAAGGACGCGGAGAATCTCTTTCATTCTGAGCATGTGGACAGTGGTCTCAGGGTGGGGAAGGCGAGGAGGGGTGCAGGGCCCACCGCTTCTCTTTGTGCACGCGATCCTCTGTCTAACTGCTCCCGCCACCTCTGAGGAGCCTCACATGAAGGTGGTCAAGGAGGAAACCATTGACCTAGACAAGACCTTGCTCCCCTGCTCAAACATTTCTGCAGCTCCCAGGCTTAAAGCTTGAGAGCCCTGAACTCCGGAGGTCCCTGTGCCTCATTTAATGCTCTGCTGTGTCCTTCTGAGCATTTGTAATAATTTCTGAACAAGGTAGCTATATTATCATTTTGCCCTGACCCCGTGAATTAGCTGGTCAGACTTGCCTATCCCATGACCCTTAAGAAAAATCTCCAAATGTTAAAGTAACTCACAGGAGCCTTCACGTTGACCTATTTCATTTACAGTTCATCTCTCTCCTGTGCTCCATACCGTGCAGCCCAGAGCCCCTGTGTGCTGATCTCTCAGTTCCTAGCACATGTGCGCCTGTCCTGGTGTCTCGCCAGAGCCTTATGTCTACCTGGCTCAGCCACACCTCTCCCTCGTCTTTGCCTGGCCTACATTCCTCACCCTTCAAGCCACAGCTTCCCTGCCCTTGGCCCAGTCCTTCCAATTGAGGTTCCTCATCTCTTTGCTCCAACGGCACCCAGGCTTCATCACACAATATTATAATTACTCCTCTCACTGTCTCTGCAGACTACACTGGGTGAGGGTGGGACCACATCTGTCATGGTTAACGCTCTTCATTAATGATAGGACAGCCTATCATTTTAAATCACTGTATTGGGGGCTCTTACAGATATTATAAATGGGCAAATACATCTGCCAATGAATCCACTTCCGGGACAGTTCATTTCCCACTGTCCCTTCCTCTTCAGTCCACGCAGAGTAACGGGAAATAGGTTCTGGAGTCCACCCTGTATATGCTAGAGATAGTACCTGTTGCTTTTGAAACTGAACCCACAACAAGACAAAATAGACCCACTGCCAGCAAGTGGAATCCGACTCACAGCAACCCTGCAGGACAGAGTTGAACTGCTCCTTCATGTTTCCGAAGCTGTGAATCTTTACGGGAACAGACAGCCTCATCTTGCTTCCAAGGAGCAGTCCATAGGTTTGAACTGCTGACATTGTGATTAGCAGCCTAATGCATAAGTCACAGCACTGCATTATTTCTCAACCGAACCCCCCTTTCTTACTGAGCACTAACAATGGCCCCTACTGACTACAATGAGATTCCTCCTCTAGTTGGAAGTCAACCGTGATTTTACTGATCTGAAGCAATTCTTATCTCACCTTTTAGGGAGAACCTGGACTTCTTGGTGGCCCGGGGTCACTTGGACCACCCGGACAAAGAGGAAGGCAGGTATGGTGCTTGCAGACACTCTGCCCCAGCTCAAAGTGCTCGGATCTAGGGGAATTGATGTTACCAGACTCAACACCTGAGGGAATGAAGACCTTTCTGCATCTGAGAGGTTGTGGGGGTGAGCATTTCTCTATCCCACTGGACCTGCTCTATAGCTAGACTGTGGACCAAGAGAGAATGAGGTGGGGAAGTGGGATTCATGCCGAGAGGAGAGTGGACGAGTTAAAACAGGGCATTTCTGTGGGATCCAGCCCCACAAGCAAATGGGTCCTTAGGAGCTGGGTGTGCTATGAAGGAAAAATAAACAAGACAGAAAAGAGCGGGCACAGGAGGCTGTCACCCCGATGGTGGAATCAAGAGGAAGAGACCAGTTTATTTCACAGAGAGTTTATAGATTGGCTTGACAGGCAAGCCTCTATTCGGCACATATGCAACAGATGGGGCCAAGGGCGAATCTGCGATATCCTGAGTTCTTTTAGGAGGACGCACCTCAAAGGAAGGGTCTGGCAGGTGAGGGAACGAAGGAGTCAAGTGGTGTCCGTCTCTCATTAAGAAGAGTAAACGGAGCAGCAGCCGATGCTTTTGGGAAGAAGCATCCTCTGAACAGTGTGTGCGAGAAACCGGGCGTTTGTAGGAGGCACCTTCTCCTTTTATAGCGGCTATATGTGAAGAACATGCTTCCTGGAGAAGTACCATCTATACTCGTGTATAAGCCAAGTTTTCCAGCACATTTTTAATGCGTGGTTTTTGGTGGTAAAATTAGGTGCTTCGGCTGCTATTCAGGTGGGCTTATACTCGAATATACACAGTACATGCATCTGGCTTCCTCTGAAAGCACAGTTATAGGAGGAGAATACATCATGATGAGTACCAGGCAATTAAGGGACAAAGGCGAAGCCGACTCCTAGCATTATAAAGACAAATGGAGGGTGACTGCTTTTAAAGGTAGGAGGCATCAGTCCTGAAGAGCTAAGTAAAGACAGCTTTACATTAGCATCTTAAAGGAAGGCAGTTTTGGAGAGAACACTTTGGATCTGGAGGGAGCCTGTTAGGTTTTCTTCTCTATCTTGGGCAGTGGAAATCTCTCAGTAGAGCCAGTCTTCCAAGCCCTGTGCTTACGCGTGTAGAGATTAGGCTGTTCATACGCCCATGGCGCTTCTCAGTTTCCCACACATTTCAATAGTTCCACATCAGTGTGGCCTTATAGATGCATGTCAGTGGATCACAAACCACGCATTTCCCCCTCTCCGTCTTTCAAGACCCCGTGAAAGAAACAGGCCTGACACTGTTCTAGAGCCTTCGGCCGGGCCAGTGTCTCGGTTCTTGGAGTGGCCCATCGAGGGACACTTTAAAAAAAAAAAAGATATTTCTAGTATGGAAGGTATGTATAGTTATTGTTGTAAGCATACTTAGCACACACAAAAAAATGAAAAATGGGAATTAAAAGAAGATACCCAAGATCCCACCATTTTGAGATCTTCACCACAAAGTCTTAGAGATATCAGAAATATTTGCAAGATATTCTGTTTATCCCTCTCAGCAGTACACTGTGTACAAAGTTCCACGTCACGTGTTTTTCCTCAGTGTCATCGTAATAGCTTAAACATGTTCTACTGAATTTATGTCCTTTAGCTGACCTGTCTCTTACTCTCTCCTTTGTCTTACCCCCAGCTGTCACAGATAATGTTCTTGTACTTAACTAAACTGGGGGCAAACTCATAACAAATTTCTACTTAGAAATTTCCAGAAGTAGCACAGCTTTGTCAAATTATATATATATAAATACATATCTTAACCCCTATGGTAATCGTCCCTCTTGAAAGACTCTGAGTTGGGGGAATTCACACCAAAAACAAAACACTCACATGTTACCCAAGAGAGGGATCACTCTGGGCACCCATACCAACAGTGGGTTTTGTCCTTGTTCTTTTTTATAATCCTATCGTTTCTAATTTTATTCACTCAAAAATTGATATCTTGTTACGAATTCAAATTCCATTTATTTGGTGACTTGTAAGGATGAACATTTTCCCATAGATCTTTGGCTATCTATGATTATTATTTGGCATATCCCTCACCTGTCTTTAGGATCAGCTTGTAATTCCCCAAGTAAGTAACTGCCCAGTTTCCAGAGTCCTGGTGGACTGTCTCTCTGCACCATATGGCGCTAGAATGTAAATCTTATGATCCAGCCTCAAAGGAGGGATTAGTAGCAGAGCCTAAATTGTAAGAATCCAATTTGCAGAAGTCTGTGGATGACAGTGGGCACCCAAGACTCATTTGTGGGAAGACATAGGAAAGGAAATGAGCCTCCAGTGAAGTCCCTCTACCCACAATTGAAGGATGGAAGGACAGTGGTTACTAGACAGGCTGCTTTGGAGAGATATGTACAGAAGGTCAAAGGCATGAATCTGACCTGAACAGTTAAGATCTTGTCAATTGATCCTCCCTCTGATGCAGGCTGGGCCTGATTTGGTTTTCAACATTTTCTGTATTTTTGTTTTGTTTTAGTTTGTTCGTATTAGGGTGTATCTTAGAGGTGTTATGTCACTGGAAATGAGCCTCTTGAAGTTGTGCTACATGTTTTTCTGTGTTTTGGGGTGTGAAACCCAGGATTGATAAACCTGTAGGGACAGCAAGTAAAATAAAGGTTTTGGGGGGCAAAGGATGGGGGCAAAAGGGAGACAATGATGAGGAGCCCAGAAAGGAAAAGAATGTTGGAAATTGAGTGTGGCAACAATTGTACAATTCTGCTTGACGTGATTGAACTATGGAGTGATACGATATATGTATGAACCCAAATTAATAATAATTTTTTAAAAATAATAAAGGAAAAGTCAGCAACATCCATGTCCCCGGGGTTCAAGTTCACTGATTAAGGCCTTTCCAATGTGAAGGCGGTTTTCTCCTGACACCATAATCTCCCCGGTACAGATTAGAATTAATTTTCAGTTTGGAGAAAAATGAAATTAAACGTAAACTGGTGTGTTCACAGGGAGATTATGGCCTCCCAGGCTATGGTCAGATGGGACGGAAAGGCGTAAAGGTGAGTATGGGGTGGGGGGGATTCTTATTTTTAATTTATGAGTCAAACCTAAATAATTTAAAGAGATATGAACATATTATGACAGTGATATGCTGATTTGCTTACCTTTTCTGCTGCAAATTTTAGGGTTCACGAGGATTCCCTGGAGATATGGGGCAGAAGGTATGTGCACATGACCTTTTGAAATAACTATAATGTTTACCTTCTAAGGACTGAAATAAGCCATTAGATACAATTGAAAGATTGCTTAAAATGAGGCAGAGCACACTTCCCATGGGTTACCTGAGGAAAGGGTGCTGTTCAGGTCCTAACCATCTTGAAATCCCAAGATAGTGAGTGTCTTATCCTTCATTGCCTGATGCGCCTTGCCTTGAAGGCTAGTGTTTTATTTTTCACTCCTTGTTGGGTTGTTCAGGTGGGAGGGTACATCAGTCTCCGATCTTTCACCTTGGCAGAAGGAGGAAGTGCAACAACACCTATGAACTCAGTGAGGTCAGACGAGTAAAAGAGACAAGAAACTGAAATAAGTAGGGAGCTGCAAAGCAAAACCCCAAACAAACTCCCTTCCATAGAGTCCATGCTGACTCACAGCCACCCCCTGCGGGTTTCTGAAGCTGTAGCAGTTGATGGGAGTAGAGAGCCTGGTCCACATGGGGTCTCGGGATCTGGGGCACACGTTTACCTGACCCAGAACACTTCCCACCACATGGCCGTTACTCACACTCTAGCCACAGCCTTCACGTTTCCTCCCTAGTAGTTTGTGTTTCCGTTTAGCACCTCTGGGCCTAGGATGGTGGCAATTTCTCTACTGAATCACTCCCTTCCTGCTCCCCACCTTCTCTCACTGACTCCTGCTCTCTCGTCAGGTCTCAGCTCAGCAATCACCTCTCCCCGGAAGCATTCGCTGCATCCTTCAGATACGACAACGTGCCCCTCCTCTGGCCTCCCATGTCACTTGTGCTTGTGATTGTTAGGGGCCGTTGAATCAGTTCCAACTCACAGTGACAGCAAAGTGGAAGACTGGCCAGTCCGGAACCTCCCTCTAATTGTTCTTAGGCTTGAGCCCATTATTGCAGTCACTGCAATAAAAATCCATCTCATTTCAGGCTTTCCTCTTTTTCTCTGCCCCTCTACTTAGTACGTCCACTGTCCTTTCTTCGTACCCTCTATCTACCACTTACTTATCACTTACCTCTGACTATTTCACTGATTCCCCGCTATACTGGGAGTGCCTCCAAAATATATCCAGAAGTGAATCCTCCATCTCCATCCTGACTCACCTGTCTAATTTTGAGCATAGCGACCAGCCCAATGGGCCCTTGTTGGGCAGAAATGGTTGATCAACAGAATTGGGACTCAATGGTTCAGTCGTATTTTGTGGGATAAGAAGTGACAACAAGAACATTCGAAGGTTAAAAGCCATGGAAAATCCTCACCCCCCCATGAGGGGATTCAAAGAAGATTCTCTTCATAATTGATGTTTTAGGCTGCATAAAGAATACATCTGTGAGTTGAAAGACAAGGCGGAGCATATTATATTAATTCTGCAATTCATGTCTCTCACCAGCATTATGGTGTACATACTATGAGCAAACATTGACAAGCCGAAGAGTCACCGGATAATTTATGCCCTCACAAAGTAGCAAATCTTCTAGAAGATACACTTTCTGTCTAAACAGATGACCCTCCTGGTGCTTCTCTAAAAATAAGACGTCGTCTTTTTTAAAGACCGCTGGTGATGAGGCAGTAGGCTTTTGAAGGAGTCAGTCTTCCAGGTCACTTACCCAATGTGTGATACAAGAGACTGGACTCCTGACCTTTTACGATGGCTTCTACTTCCAGTCCAAAGTGGGAGAAAGTCCTTGATTGCTATGGTAGTTATATCATCTGCTGTCAATTTGAGAGGATTAAGAGTGAAGGGGTGGAGTTTAGCCTGTCAATCAGGTCGCAGCTGGATGACCTCATTTGGAGGTGCTGAGGAGATAAACAGTTCGCTGGAGGCAGGATGCAGGCTGACTCCCTGGGAGACATTGCAGCTGTGAAGAGACATGGAGCTGCACTAGTGCCCTGAGCTGGAGGAACCACATGGAGACCCCTGCTAGCGCTGAGATGCTTATACCACCACTGGATCCACAAGACTTTCCACCCACTGGCCTGTGATCTTCCTGCAGTCAGTGTCATTGCATGTGTTGCGTGAGTCTGAAGAGCAATTTACGGAGTGGTATCAGACATATGGGCTAATATCTGACTTATGGACTTGATCTGGACTGGGCTGGGATGTTTTCTCAATATTCAATTGTTGTTGTATATAAAGCTCTTTCTTATACACATATGGATGTCTATAAGTTTTGTTTCTCTAGTCTACCCAGACTAACACAACTGCCTTATTTCATTCCTAACTCTCTGGATAGTGCTTTAAATATGAATAAACTAGGTATTTTCGACAGACTTACTCCCGGAACTCTGCTGAGGCAGTTCGTGGGAGGATATAATACAATTTTGTTTCTGGGAATGATGAACACCTCATGACCTGAACGCTGTCTTCTCCCCCTTTTCATTCCCAAACCTTGTCTCTCCTTTCTTCTCTCCTACATATCATGAATAAGTATTCCTTCCAGAACTTGAATTATCCTAGTCAACACTGAATTTAAAGTATCTTCCTTAGGACAGCTTTTCTTGCTCCCCTCCCCCATCATATACCCCCAGCTAGCTCTGGATTGGGGTTAGATAACATTTTTCCCCTGATAAGGTCCACATGCTTTTGTTCAATTCTCAACATTCTCAATCACCCAAACCCCAGGAGGGCCCTAACTTAAACACTCTCCCCCTTTAGCCTACATGGAAACTTTATCTATCTATCCATAGTTATCTACAGGTAGGATTGATGCATTTGAGTTATGGCGCTGATGAAGGATATTGAAAGCCCCATGGTCTGCCAAAAGAACAAACAAAACAAAGTTGTCTTGGAAGAAGTGCAGCCAGAATGCTCTTTAGAAGCAAGGATGGCCAGGCTTTGTCTCATGTACTCTGGCCGTGTTGTCAGGAAAGACCAGTCTCTGGAGAAGGGCATCGTGTTCGGTACAGTAGCGGGACAGTGAAAAAGAGGAAGACCTTCGATTAGCTGGATTGACAGAGTGGCTGTATCAATGGGCTCAAACAGAAGAAGAATTGTGAGGCTGGCACAGAGACCGGCAGTGTTACCTTCTGTTGTTCCTCAGGTTGCTAAGAGATGGAACTGACTCCATGGCACCTACCAACAACAACTTCTATCTGCCTATCTCTCTCCGTCTGTCTGTCTGTCTGTCTATCTGTCTATCTATCTATCTATCTATCTATCTATCTATCTATCTATCTATCTA